ATGCAGGGAATAAGCTGGGTTGCTACTAAGACTGGCCCAACTGTGGGAAAAGCCCATTTTAGAGACTGGAATACTGAGTCACAAGGAAACTGGGTGATCCCCACCAGGGACCCGGAAGCCAATGCCATCCAGTCAGAGATGCCTGATGGTGGGTAATGCCTGATGGTGGGTGGGCAGGGACCCTGCGGGTGTCAGAGCTTCAAGGGGCCTCCCGGCCGTCCAAGCTGCCATTCATAAGGCTCTCCCCTGCGTGTTCCCCTTCAACTCCCAGAGACAGTGCCCTGGCATGGGATGCCTGCTTGTGGCAGACACACCCGTAGGTTTCAGATGTTGTTGTATAGACATCTCTTTCTCTGCTCTTCTTAAAACTAAATAAAGACATACAAGAAATAGGCCAAGAAAATTGGGGAATGAAAAGAATAACGGAGCCAGTAAGAAACAGGCTACGGACGGATCACACTCCTGTTTTATCAGACTGGAGCCTCAGCGGGGCGACGAGTCATTTCTGCAAAGAGGTCAATGTCTTTTGTCATTGGCATGTAGTTGGGAAGAAGTCTGTGAAATTGTAGGAAGCAATCAGAGGAAAGATGGGTCTTGGTAAAATAAGGGGCAAAAACCCACTTAACTTCATCAGGGCTGGGTTAGAAAATCCAACTAGCTAAGAGATGATCCTTAACTAGTCGCTGTTTAAGATGTCGGTGTCGGCCGGGCGCGGTGGCTCAAGCCCGTAATCCCAGCACTTTGGGAGGCCGAGGCGGGTGGATCACAAGGTCAAGAGATCAGGACCATCCCGGTCAACATGGTGAAACCCCGTCTCTACTAAAAATACAAAAAAATTAGCTGGGCATGGTGGCGCGTGCCTGTAATCCCAGCTACTCAGGAGGCTGAGGCAGGAGAATTGCCTGAACCCAGGAGGCGGAGGTTGCGGTGAGCCGAGATCGCGCCATTGCACTCCAGCCTGGGTAACAAGAGCGAAACTCCATCTCAAAAAAAAAAAAAAAAGATGTCGGTGTCACTATGAACCTCAAGAAGCAGGGGATAGGATTCTAAGAGGCTAAGGTGCTCTTTCCCCGCTAGGAGGAAAAAGGCGGCTGTTTGGCCAGCCAGCAGTTCTCTCTGACGAGGCAGGAGGAAGCCTGGCAGTATTTGAAGAGGGGCCATCGGGAACCTCCATCAGCCTTGTAGAAGGAGAGTTTCAGGGATCTAGCTCACGGAGGAAGCCCAGTGCCAGCCAGGCGGAAGGCTGCAGGCAGCAGAGAAAGGATTTTCTCTGTCAAAGCCACAGATGAGGGGTGGAGGCCGTGTCCAGGCGGGGGCCCTGTGGGTTTTGAAAGGAGCTGATCGTCTTGGGGCTCATGACAGCTAAGGTTTGGTTACAGTTACTAATAAAAATGAAGTTTAAATGGAAGAAAAATACCAGCTGTACCCAGGTATCTGGATTTCTTTATATGGTATCTAGAGTTTAAATGCATATAATTAATAGTCAGTTAAGTTAAACAGTACTTACACTGTTATTTTAATCACATTTATTTTCGTTGAAAAGGCACCCGAGGTGGTAGCTGTTAAGGCCCTGCCTTGCCCCTCTCTCCTTTTTTGTTTTTGAGACTGAGTTTCGCTCTTGTTGCCCAGGCTGGAGTGCAATGGCAAGATCTCGGCTCACCGCAACCTCTGCCTCCTGGGTTCAAGTGATTCTCCTGCTTCAGCCTCCCGAGTAGCTGGGATTACAGGCATGTGCCACCACGCCCGGCTAATTTTTGTATTTTTAGTAGAGACGGGTTTCTTCATGTTGGACAGGCTGGTCTTGAACTCCCGACCTCAGGATTGGCCTCCCAAAGTGCAGGGATTACAGGCATGAGCCACCACACCTGGCCTTGCCTCTGTTCTTTATGCTGGGGGTGAGGGCTTAAGGCCCGCCCAGGCAACTCCAAAGCATTCACTGCGGGTCACCAGGGACTGTGGTCCTGCAGCCTTAAGGGGGGAAATGTCAAGTCTTGCAAACCACGGTGGAAAATGCCACCTTTACATCAGCCATGTTCTCTAGGGTTGCTCTTGAGGCAACAGATTCCCCAGAGGGACACATCCTGGCCACTTGGGTATGCTTGCCACTTCTGGCCTAGCTGGGGTGGGGGTCTCACATGATACCCACCCCATGAGGAAGACTAAGGGGAGCCAGGGTTTTCCTACCTGCCTGTCCCCACCCCGTGTGTCCTGCTCGGCCCAAAAGCTGGACGGCAGGTCCTTGCATTCTGACCTCCTGGGTAGCTCTTTCTCCACCCTGCCCTGCCTGTGGGTCCAGAGAAGTGAAGTAACTTGTCCAGGGTCACCCAGCTAACAGTGCTGGGGTTGGGCCTAGAGCCCATTCAGCCAAAAGAACAGAAGCTGCTGTGTGCAGACATCGGCTCAGTGTTTTGCTTGAAAAGGCCTTTCAGTCTGACTGAGCCAGGACTCCATGGCTCTGGTTCAAAGACACCCCACGAGTTGCTGGGGCTCCGTGCTGCGCAAGTCAAGAGGAGGTGAGAAAGTCAAACAGACTGTCAATGCTGCCTCCCCTGAGCCCCAAAGTGGGGGCTCCCTCCAAGGAGACGCTATTTGTAGAGATTTGGGGTTTTGCACAAGACTGGAAGATGAGGCTCTGCAGATTCTTGGTCTTCCGTTGGATGATCCATTAGCAACCACCCCACCCCGATGAGGAGTTATGTCGTCCCAGGGACCCTTACCAGCCAAAAGCCCTGGGCCTCTGTCCAGCGTGGCCCCTCTCCTTCAGGATCACACACACCTACCACTAACCGGCTTCCTTTCCCCTCCTTCCTGTGACAATCCGGGTCCCTGGCGGCAGGGCTCATCCTCAGTGTTGCCCCTGCCCTTCACCCTCTCAGCCCTTTCCACCTCCCATCTGGACACAGCCCGTTTCATTCTGTTAACTCTGTTTTGACAGCCTCGACATCCCAAGGCTAGCCTGGGTCTGCCTGTGTTGGCAGCTCCTGGAAGCAGGGATCAGGGTCGAAACAGACAGGAGAGCATTTTCCTGGGCCCTTCTTCACACTCACATCCTCACAACAGTCTGTCCTATTGCACTAGGTGGAAGCAGGTGACAGGACCCCGAGCTGTGGATCTGGAGGTGTCTGGCCCACTGGGCTCAGACTTGGGTTGGGGAAGAAACTTTTTAGCGGAGCCAAGCAGGGCGCTCTGTGCTTGTGTGTGCCAACTCACGCTGTCCTCACAGCAATAGGAAGGAAACCTCCTCTCCACGTCCTAGACAAGGAAACAGAGGCAGAGGAAAGAGACCTGCCCACGCTCACTGAGCTGGTAAGTGGTGTGGTTCTCATTTGGGCCATTCACTGCATATTTCAGGCTTTGGCCTTCTGGACACGTCCTGGTTCCCTCATGGCTGAGCAGGCCAGGTGATGAGTTCTGGCTAGGGAGGTATGAGCAGAGGTGTGGGCAGTGAGCTGTGAGCAGAAGGTGATGCGTTTGCTTCTGGGCTGCACATTTCACTGCTGGGGTGAGTGCTTTCAGAGTTCCCTTATCCTTTGCCAGAGAGATCACAGTGGCTTTCCGATCAGCCTGGGTCAGAGCTGGGCAGCAGTCTGGACTCCCAGACCCCCGGACCCCAGGTCTTCCTGGCACCCCTGGAGCCCTCAGTTCCCGCGAAATGGGACACGTGGCTCTTTCTCTGGTGTCTCTGTCCACAGGGGGTTTCAGGTCATGCCCTCTTTTTTTTTTTTTTTTTCCTGAGATGGAGTCTTGCTGAGTAGCCCAAGATGGAGTGCAGTGGCGTGATCTTGGCTCACTGCAACCTCCACCTCCCAGGTCTTGGTTCAAGCAAATTTCCTAGCTCAGCCTCCCAAGTAGCTAGGATTACAGGCACACGCCACCATGGCCAGCTAATTTTTGTATTTTTAGTAGAGACAGGGTTTCACCACGTTGGCCAGGCTGGTCTTGAACTTGAACTTGTGATCTGCCCACCTTGACCTCCCAAAGTGCTGAGATGACAGGCGTGAGCCACCGGACCCGGCTTAGTCATGAGCTAATCCATGAGAAACTTGCCTGCCAGTGAATCCCCTACCTTCTTCTCAGTGAAACTTGCGCTTTGGAAATCACCCGTCGTCAACCCTAATTCTTTCCGCTTTTGTCATGGAGGGGAGAACAAGGTCAGCTGGCCCAGCCTGCTTTCCACGTGGATAGGAGACAGCACATGGTGCCTGGCCCCCCGGCCCCTGCTAACACAAACTCAGCCATCCCTGGACCTGGCGTCCTCCACAGGCCTGCCCCATCTGTCTGCCCTTTCTGAGATACACACACACACGTACACACACTGCGCACACTCTCACACAGGGTGGTCAGAGCCAGGTGAGGCGCCAAATAACAGCGTGTTCTCCTGACTTTGTAATCTCACCCCTCTGAACCCTCTACAGTGCTCTCCAGCCAGACCACCTCCTGCCCCACCTGCCTTATTCAACATACTTGTTTCCGACTGCTTATAAAGATGTGTCAGCCTTGAAAGATGAGAGTCAACTGTCACCAAGGAAATGAAAAAGGATGTGCTTCTAGGGCCGATGGCAGTTCCCAAAGTAGAGTCCAGAAATATTTTTGTGAAGTGGCAGCTGGCTCCTCGAGGAGGAGTGCTGAGCCTGGCGGGGTGGCAGTCACACGCTCAGACACAGGTCTCGGTGGCTCCTCTGCACACCCGTCACCTACCTCCTTCTCCATGACCCAGACACACAGGGCCCTGAATATACACCCATTTCCTACACACACATGTGGCTTCCACAAGCACGCCAGACGTCAAGGCTTCAGACTGCCTCTTCATCCGGTGTCCCCAGGATGCCCAGAGTACTGCGAGGTGGCCGCAATCCACTGGCCGCCATGAAGCAGGGACCTCGAGGGACCCCTGGCTAGCACCAAAATGATCAAAGTCAAAACCCAAAGGGCCACACTGGGCCCGGCGCACTGGGCAGCTCTCCAGAGCTTTGAGTCTTTACGGAAGCAATGCACAAGAGTTCGGAGCTTTGGGGGAATTTATTGAGGGCAGGCTTTGCGTACCAAAAGGGTGCTGGGTTTTCATCTGTCATTGGCAGGTGTCACAGCTGATGGTCTCTTTACCGCCATCAGTTGGTTGGCCAGACTGCGACGACCACAATAGCCACGAGCAGCAGTAAAATCACCATGATCATCCCTGAAAAAGAGGAGCAGAAAATACCTCTTTTAATGATTCCTACCAGAAGAGCTTCACACATTCTGAGTGCCTGCAGAGAGTCAGAGGGATGATGCTCCCTCTGAGCCTTGTACTCTGAGGCGGAGAGGGGTGGTCAGCATCCTGGGGCAAGGCTGACCCAGGCTGCTGACCACCCCTGGCTTTGCAGGATGGTGAGTGCAGAAGGAGGGGCCTGGTGTGGTCAGGCCTCTCCAGGCTACACCCAGGCCAGGAGGGGGTGCCTGCTGTGCCCCTGACTCTGGGCACACCCTGGACCACAGGGGAGGGTAGAAGCTGCCTATAGCAGCCACCCTCACTACCCAATCAGATTACGCATTGATGAAGCATTGATAAAGCAAAGGGCTTAGGAGCTGCATTCTAGAACCCAGTTCTCCATTCTCCACGTGGCTTCACTTTGTCTTCTTGAGTCCAAGATCCTTATGCCACCCATGTGTAAAAACATTCATGAACAGAGGTGCTCGTTTTAATATGTACTTTTTCTGCTAGTAGTTTCTGGTTTCATTTCCCGACATTTCTGGCTGGAGAGCACGGACCTTCCCAGCCAGCACCACGCTGGGTCCAGCTCTGCCTGCCAGCCCTGCCCTGCCTCCTCCGGGTCGTGCATCTGAACTAATCATGGCCTGTTCCTCCACCTGATGCTGATGAAGTGGGCACCACAGAACGCAGCCCTCCCTCAAGACAATGAGCTCACTGTCGCCCATGTTCATTTGCCCAGTAGTTAACAATGAGTGCTTGCCAGACGCCAGGTACCAGCAGCGACAAGGTGTAGCATAACAGAGGTGGGGCGTGCCTAGTGTCAAGTAAACACTCAAGAAAGGTTTGCTCACTCAAGAGTCCTTGAGCTGCCAAGGGCCCAGGAGGGAGGTGGGGAGCAGAAGAGGAGAGGTCCATGAAAATGCTTCAGAAAGTAACAGGGAGAGCCACATGTGCAGAGTCACATGGTCGCACGGCCATCAGGACTGCTCAATCCTACTATAGTCTGTGGCCTAAGTTCGTCAGCAAAGAAAATGCTAAATTTCATTTAGACATTTGTGAAAATAAGAGTGCAATTTGTGGCTGGGTGCAGTGGCCAGGGGCAGTGGCTCAGCACTTTGGGAGGCTGAGGTGGGTGGATCACAAGGTCAGGAGATTGAGACCATCCTGGCCAACATGGTGAAACCCTGTCTCTACTAAAATACAAACAAACAAACAAAACTAGCCAGGCGTGGTGGTGCACACCTGTAGTCCCAGCTACTTGGGAGGCTGAGGCAGGGGAATCACTTGAACCTGAGAGGCAGAGGTTGCAGTGAGCCGAGATCATTCCACTGCACTCAAGCCTGGTGACAGACGAGTAAGACTCTGTCTCAAAAAAAAAGAGGGCAATTTGCTTTTTCTTCCAAGTTCACAGACTTCCTGAATCCCCTGCAGCCAGGACAGGTCCCACCTGTGGAGTTGCTGGGATCTGCTGGAAGACTTAAAAATGTGTGGCAAGTGGGTGGGCACCTGTAATCCCAGCACTTTGGGAGGCCAAGGTGGGCAGATCATCCGAGGTCAGGAGTTCGAGACCAGCCTGGCCAACATGGTGAAGCCCCGTAAAAAATACCAAAAAAAAGTTAGTCTGGTGTGGTGGCAGGCTTCTGTAATCTCAGCTACCAGGGAGGCTGAGGCAGGAGAATCACTTGAACCCGGGAGTGTGCAGTAAGCCGAGATTGCAACACTGTACTCCTCCAGCCTATACAACAACAGCAAAACTCCATCTCATAAAAAAAAAGTATGGCAAGCTTCTTTGTCATCTCCCTGTGATTGTGGGTGAATTTTTCTAATACGGGCTCTTTCTCTGATGATCCAATCTTTTGAGAGATGCTTCTCTTGGGGACCCAAGATTTCTCTCCCTGTTCCTGGAGGAGAAAACCTCAAGCCTAGTCTACACTTAAGGCCCTGCCAACTTTGGTTTATGGGCCAAATCTGGCTGTGCTCTGTTTTTGTACAATCCCTGAGCTAACAATAGTTTCTTATATTTGTAGAGGGTCATCAAAAAAGTAAAAGAAGGAGATGTGACACCGTCTGTGGTCTGCACAGCCTAAACCATTTACGACCTGGCTTTTTCCAGGGGCTTGCTAGCTCCTGCTCTCTATCACAGTGACTGATAATGACCCAGCTGCAGCAGTTCATCCACTTAGGTGCTGGCTTTCAATGCTCTCTTCATTTCTTTCATCTAGGGATTTCCTTTCTTCCTTGTAAATTCAGCTATGCATTAACATTTGTGGGTGGGTTTACACTATTTTACCTAACATTTCAAGATGATTGCAGTGAGAAGGTAGGGGTAGGGGTGTATGTGTGTATGTGTGTGTGCGTGTGTGTGTGTCTGTGTGTGTGTGTGATTATCTTAGTCCATCTTCTTACCAGAAGCAGAAGAACAAATCTAGTCTCACTCTAGTCCCCCAGGCTGGAGTGCAATGGAGCGATGTCGGCTCACTGCAACCTCCGTCTCCCGGGTTCAAGCGATTCTCCTGTCTCAGCTTCCTGAGTAGCTGGGATTACAGGCACCTGCCACGTGCCTGGCTAATTTTTGCATTTTTAGTAGAGATGGTCTTTCACCATGTTGGCCAGGCTGGTCTTGAACTCCTGACCCCAGGTGATCCGCTCACCTCAGCCTCCCAAAGTTTTGGGATTACAGGCATGAGCCACTGCTCCCGGCAGAAGAACACATCTTTTCACTGATTTTCTGCCTCCAGAAACATCTCCAGGTTGACCAAAAGCTCCCCGGGGCAGGAGCATCGCTAGTTCTTGGTTATTCTCGTGCCTGTACAGTGTCTGGTTGAAGACTTGTTCCTGGCTGGGTGAAGGTTTCTGCTGTGCAACATCAGGAGAAGATGATGGGAATGAGGAGGCAGGCACAGGCTGGGGTGTGGTGAGAGGGCAATCCCTGGCACTCCAGGGCCTGGGCTTACCCTAAGCTGAGAGGGAGGGGCTGACAGCTGAGGAGATACAAGAGAGGATGAGAGGTGTTTGAGGAAGAGGTAGTGCTCCTGAGGCTCCAGCAGGATCACAGCTGGGAGGACACGTGGGCCTAGAAGCTCTCTGTGCAGCAAGGCAGGCTCCACACTGAGGCTCTGATGGCCCAGAGCAGAGGCCGGTACAGTGACCATGAATTGTCAAATCGGGGTGATTATGAGAACTGCGGAACAAGTGACAAGAACAGGGAAATCACGAACAACAACTGCCAACCCAAATGGCCATCGATGACAGACTGGACAAGGAAAACAGCAACAACAACATCAACAACTGATTGGGACGAGGAAAGCACACATCTGGTTTTAGCTTCTGCACCCCGAGCTTGAAGTCCCAGGGAAGAGGCCTCGAGGCACCCGCGGTCACTACCATCCCCGATTCAGAGCCCTGCGGTTAGGGACCACCCGGCTTGTGCGTCCCTCGATCCGTGCTCCGCAATGGAGCTACAGCAAGCTTTACAGAATGTAAAGCAGGTCAGCTGACCTCCTTGCTTACACCCCGCAATGGCTGAAATCAAGATCCAAACTTTACGGACTTGGCCTAGCACAGCGTGGCCCTGCAACCCTGCAGCCGCGCTCTGCGTGCTGTGCTCCAGCTACCCTGGGTGTCTTCGCTGCCTGTGACAGGCCGATGCAGAAGGCAAGGGCCCTGCCTCCCGGCTTCTACATGTGCTATCCTTTCCATCCGAGAGCTCCCCACCCTTGGTCTAGTAATTACCCCAAACTCAGTGTCAGGGGCACTTTCCCAAGGAACTCTTTGTTGTCCTCCAGTTACCCGTGCCCTCCTTGTCCCCTAAGTCTCCATGGTAACCCTTTTTAAATCTTTTTCTTTCTTTTTTTTTTGAGATGGAGTCCTGCTCTGTAGCCCAGGCTTGAGTGCAAAAGGCGTGATCTCGGCTCCCTGCATCCCGAGTTCAAGTGATTCTCCAACCTCAGCCTCCCGAGCAGCTGGGACTACAGTTGCCCACCACCACGCCTGGCTAACTTTTGTATTTTTAGTAGAGATGGGGTTTCACTATGTTGGCCAGGCTGGTCTCGAACTCCTGACCTCAAGTGATTCACCCTCCTTGGCCTCCCAAAGTGCTGGGATTATAGGTGCCAAAGTGCTGGGATTATAGGTGTGACCCACCGCACCCGCCTTAAATCATTGTTTAGGTACTCAGTTACCATCTCTCTCTCCTGGGCACCTGAATGTCTACAACAGGGACTGTGGTTTCTCATTCACCCCCATATCCCCAGTACCCAGAACAGAGCCTGACACAGGAAAGAGGCACAGACACACACACGTGTGTGTGTGTGTGTGTGTGTGTGTGTGTAAAACAAATGAATACATGTACTGAATTTTTGGAAGGGATAAGAAGAGACACAAGGGACACAGAAGGAGTGATCGACAGAGAGGGAGAAGCTGAGAAAACGTGGCAAGAAGGCTAATGAGCAAGAAAATTTAAAAAGTGGTCAATGCCAACCCATAGTACTGCAGAGGGAAGAAGATAGAAGAAAGCTCCCGGGCTGCAGAGACCTTGCATGCAGTTTTAGCACACGGTGGGTGGGTCTACTGGAACTATTATTATTACAGTGGTGCCTTTAAAGCCACTAATTTTTCTACCACAGATACTGTGGATTAGACAAATTGTGTCCCAGTAAAGGCATGACGGGGCACACAGTATCAGCGATGGCCATCTTGGACAGTAAGTTGATAAGATATGATAAACTGCGTTCTTGTCCAAAAATGAAAAGGGGGATTTCAAGAGCAATGACAAATAAGGCTTTTATATTTTAAACCGTTTCAGAGCAAACAGGAGGAGACTTTCAACAGGCTTAAGTAAACTGGTGTATATTGGGGTCAACTGAGGAGGTCATTTTAAGATGGCAGGTGACAGCGATAAGCAAAGGCCGACTGCTGCCTTTTGGATTCTTTGGGTCACAGGAAAGGTGTTTATCTACCTTATCACTGCAATCCTTTTTCTTTGA